TTCCCACGGCCACATTTTATTGGGTTTGCATTTTGGTTTGCGAAGTTCGCACTCTCTCAAATCCCCCTGGGTGTTTCGTATTCCTGTTTCACGAGTACTCCTTCCTTCGTGGCCAAAATGGCCCAGAAATCCCTGCAACCGAGCCTCCACCCAACCTCCTCCGAGCCTGGACCAGAGGGCGTTGACTTTCACAAGCTAATTTGGGACCTGGGCTTTAAAGGTAGGCAAGCCAGAGTCAGTCTTTAAAATGACAAGCCACGGGAATCGTGTCGACCATCGGGTCTTGAACCTGATGTGAGCCTCCGCATACTGCTCCTCGGGAGTGGCTACTTGGTCGACGACCTGTTTGGGGCGTCGTCAACATCGTCGGCGTCGGCAGCTTCTTCATCAGGCGGTGGGGGTTGTTTCACCTTGGGCTGACCAAATGGCAGAACGGCCTGCTGGTAGCGCCCACAAGGCCGCTAAGAGACAGACGCAGGAGAGGAGTTGTCAGCGGGCTGAGTAGACGACGGCCCAGGTACAGCTGGGGGGGGGGATTCGGCAGCAGGGATTGTGCTGTCTCGACTCACACGCGCGGCAGGCTTTGGCGGGACAGCCGCTAGAGAGGCGTTGTCCGCGGGTTGGAACGTCGATGGACCAAGTATTGCCGAGGGCGGAATTTTGGCAGCATGAACCGAAACGGGAAGACTCCAGCAGCCAGGTGGCGTTGCTTGCACAGCCCCTGGGAGGACGCGTTCACTGGGTGGATCGGCGGCAGTCGCACTACTGCCGATGGGGTAGTTCTGACCACGGGCATTGTAAGAATGCCCGCTCTTCCATTGACGGTGGTGGGTGCTGCATGGGCCTCTACTGCCCTAGGATTGCTGCGTAGCGAAGACAGGCTAGACAGCAGCATGTCTAGCCCTGAATGAGCCTCGGCCATAACTTCTACATGGCCGTCGGCATCGTCCTCGGGAGCCCCATCGCTGGCGTCAGCCATGGCGTTGTGGGGGACCGTAGAGCGATCAACGTGTGAGAGAGACAATGGAGGGCTTCCTGCACGACAGGTGAAACCGAGGCAAAAGCTAGGTAATGAGTCAGTGAGAGGGGCAATTTTGCCGCACTATAAGAATGACCTCGAGAAGAAAGGGGGGCGCGATTGACTCGAATGGACAGACGACGGTGGGGCTGCATCTGGACTTCATTCCCGGTATTGGCAAAATCAGGACGCGTACGCATTATAGTGTCAGAAATTTCATGACGCATTACATAAACCATGTGGAGTGATCAAAGTTCACTAAAAAAAAAAAAACGCTGAAAAAACAGGATGCCAAAAAAAAAAAAAAAAAACCATATGCAATCAGGACTGGCCCGCCAACGGGGTCTGATTTTTTTCCTGAATCAGGAAAAAAATCCTGCAATCTAGGGGCCTGGTTGTGGCACTGGGATAGCCCTGTCGAACCTCTTCTCTCTCTAGGGAGGTTACTAGAGAGGCTTTCCCTGGGGAAGGTGGAGATACCGTAACCCACCGCATATATCACCCACCGGAATAGCAGTCCATGGGTCCTTTGGACGGACATCGGGACGCTTATTTTGACAGAATCTGTGAGGATCCCCGTTTTGGCATTAGTCATTTTACGACCCCCTTTGACGGTTCCCTGTTTACTAAGTGCACTTCGTTGGACTTGGAGAGGTTTGTTTTGCCGAGGATCATTTGACGAAACGTGTCAGACGTTCAAATCTGACGCGAATTCTGACGGGCCGATATATGACGTGTCAGTTATGAAAGTTGTTCTCGGGACAAATGGCTCCTTTTGGAAAATGGGGTTCGCTTGTGCATTGTGATTTCAAGCTCCCTTAAAGCGAGCGTACAGACCAAACTCAAGAGTCAAAGGTTTTGATTCCCCCGACGCACGAAAACCAACGCGAAGAACACACGGTAACCAAATAATGGCAGGAGGGGGTGCGATTTTGATTTGGGAAGATTCTGATTGGCTATGCGACGGAACAAGCGAAGCCTCTTCCCCCCACCACACCAAGACCCAAAGCTTTTGCTTTTTACTCTCTACTCGGTGGCCATGGCTCCTTCCCGGCCATTCTTGCTCCATAACACAGCGCTTACCTCCTATTTCGTCATTCACTGGAAAGGTGCGGCTTATTAGTAACGTTTACACGTTCCCATAATCATGTGCGTGACAGATACCTGCCGCATCTCCGTTACTTCACGCGACCAGCGATTTCGTACCCAATCGGCCACTGTGCTGCATGTCACGCTATCATTTCAGCGCGCGCCACGCGAACACCTGATTAGCGAGCCCTAAGGTATTTCCTCGCCAGTGCGCCCAAATACCTCGCCCGTCGCCTCACTTCCCACTCCCCGCTCCTCGCAGCAGCTGCAAGAGCGCTGCCCACTCATCCGCATTCCCCGTTTCCCGCCCCGCCCGCTGCATCTGCCTGTATTCGCCTCCCCGCTTTTCTGCACTCTAGCTGCCCCTGCTCTCCCGCTTCCCGGATCCCGCTTCCTGCTCTCTCGATTCCCACTTTCCCATTATCCTGCTTCCCCGATTCCGCTTTCCTCCCAACCCGCATTCCCGCTTTCCCGCTTCCCCGCTTTCCCCCAGCACCCATTCTCCCACCCTTTCCTATCCTCGCCGGCCCTCCCATGACTTCCTGTCGCCAATTCCCTCCCTTCCTATCCCCGCGCCCATCCCTTCCTATCCCTGCGCCCATCCCTTCCTATCCCCGCGCCTATCCCTTTGCGTAGCTCATCGGTCCATTCCCTCACTCAAGCTCTTGCCCTGTCCGCCCGCCCCTCCCCCTGTTATCCCTCCCAACCTTCCCACCATATCCCTATATCCCCTGTTATCCTCACACTGCCCCTCACGCCTACTGCACGTCACCATTCCCCCGACTCCCCTCCCTCGTTACCCTTGCTCTGCCCACCTCTATCCCCCCAGCTCTTCCAAAGGTGGGCTCTGGTGGGGGGGCAGGTGGGTTCTGGTGTGGGGGGAGGTGGGCTCTGGTGAGGCGGGAGGTGGACTCTGGTTGGGGGTGGGGTGAGCTCTGGTGGGGGGGAAAGGAGGGCTCTGGTGGGGGGGAAAGGAGGGCTCTGGTAGGGGGGGAGGTGGGCTCTGGTAGAGGGGGGGGTGTTGGGCTCTGGTTGGGGGGGGGGGGGGGGGGGAGGACATTTTGAAGCTGGGGAGGGGGCTCGCTGCCCGCTTTCTCCCTCTCTCCCTCCCATCACCCTTTCTTTCAGCTCTGGTCGCTATCTAGGCACTCCCTCCCTTCCCTTCCCATCCCTCCTTTCTCACACTCTCCTCTGCCCATCTCACACTCCCCGTATTCCCTCATTCATCTCACTACCACTCTCCCTCCCTCCCTCCCCTCCTCTCTCTCTCTCTCTCTCTCTCTCTCTCTCTCTCTCTCTCTCTCTCTCTCTCTCTCTCTCTCTCCCTCTCTCTCTCTCTCAGCGATAGTGGGGAGGTGAGCTACTGAGGGATCACCTTGCGGCGGAGGGGGTGCACGACAACCTCTCCCTCTCTACCCCTTTCTCGCACCCACCCTTTCCAGCACATCTCAGAAGCTCAGCCCACATCTCTCTCAGCCCACCCCTCTACTTCGCCCACTCCCCCGTGCCATGCCCCTCCTCTCCCCCCCCCTTTCCCCCCCATCCTCTCTTAATCTTTTTCTCTCTTCCCCCTGTCTGCATATCACTCTATCTTGTTCTTAGCATGAAGTCCAAGCCTTCCTCCCTTTCTTTCCCAACACCCTTCCATTCTAGTTGCATGTTCCTGCCACTCCTTTTCAGGGTTTGTCGCAAGAGAGGGCGGCGAAGTACTGTTGGGGTGCTTGCCTGTAAGGCAGTTTTAGTTGATTGTGATGTGCTGTGGGTAATTTCCGATCTTGTGCACATTTGCTGGCCCATTATAACTGGCTTTGAGGACAAATTTTATTGCCCAATATCTTGATGCGTACCGTATTCCCCCGTATATAACACCCTAGGGTATTGTCAAAATTTCATTAAAAAAACGTATGGGTGTTAACAGTAGGCTGGAAAAATAAAACACCCATGTCTTATGTAAAATGCAAAATGAATTTGGGTTGTAACACGCACTCTGAGGCCAAAACTTCACCGAGCATCTGCTAACAAGGAATCTGCTACAGAGTGCGTACTCTGACAGGGTCAGTTTGGTGCCTTTGAAAACGGCGGGAGATTGATGCTGCAGTAGTGCCAGGTGTCATTGACCAATCTCGTAAGAGTGCTGTGAATAGAGTCACAACCATTGCTGACGCGATCGAGGTGGTTCAACAGCAAGATGGACGGTCGAGATCCTCTCGACACTTTTTGTCTTTCGATTTCATGTTGCCACTTGTATTGATTCTTCTGCCCGTCTTTGCGCTGCGAATGGCAGCTGACGCGATTTTAATCGTGTTCGTATTTTTGCAGCTGAGCGAACCTTGGTAATGAAGGACAGAATACTATTTAAAGGCAAGAAAAACGTGCAGGGTGTTATGTAAAATGCAAACCCAAAAAAGCGGGTACTCTCAAAAATGCGTCATATCATAAGCTATCCCCCGCATAAGCCACCCGTGGGCTGACTATTTCGGCGGGTCTTATATACGGGGGATTACGGTATGTCTTGCCGAAGTTGGACAAATGGAGGTACTTTATTCTATTACACCACGGTTCACGATGCCTATTTTTGCCGTCATGTACTTGTTTCCTCGCTATGGAAATGCCCCGATAGCTGTCAGCTTGTACATTGCTGGGGAATCGCGAATCGCCAAATCCTGCTTCACTGTTCCTTCTTGACGAACCTGCTGTCCCCTTTCCTCCGCCAAGAGGGCTTCAGGCCTGTGCGACCTCGCTAGGTCGTGCACAACCTCGCCTGTCCAGATTCCTTTCGCCGCTGTTTTGTCCGTCTCGCTAACTCGCCCATCCCCACTCAAGATTCAAAACCTTTGAGCCTTGAGTTTGGTCTGTACGCTTGCTTTAAGTATAAAATACATGGTTGAGTGAGGGTCCTAAGTATTTCCAGCCATATAAACGTACATCACAAAAAATTGATTGAATTTTCCAGGAGTCCCTAGGGTGATATATGTGGGGGGTTACGGTATGGAGCCTAACTTTCCTGAGGACATCCCTTCTTGTCCCAGTGGTTAGGACTGGTGACTTTATAACAATATGGTGCGTTGTGCTGAACCATGGGAGCAACTCCAGAAATGAAACAAGCAAACAAAACGGTGTGGCGGAGGTGGCGGAGGCGGCATTACTGTCCTACAGTGCTCCAGGCCTCCTACATGCGTGTAGCAGCAAGCACAGACAGACAGCACAGGTCGATTGCGACTCAAACTTAACCTGGAACGTGGACCTATCAGGTGAAGAGAATGAGGAAGGCAATGGCAGCACCAACGATGGCTTGAAGGGTCAACACAGCGACGAGCAGAAACAACCTCTGTCGATTTTGGAAGGGAGGGAGAGGGGGGGAGGGTGGAATGAGGAAAACGAGGGAGGATGAGAAATAGAGGGGAAGAATGAGGGCTGAGTAAAGGTGAGTATGGAGACGGTGCAACATCAAGTGCTAAAAACTTGACGTGTTGCGAGAACTGAGTGAGGAGAGGCAGCAGGAACGTGGTGGTGTGAACTCTCCCCCCCCCCGACACACACACAGCTTCCAGGCAAAGGGGCAAGGGGAAGGAGATGGCGTCACATGGAATGGTGCCTCAACTCAACGCTATGGCATGGTATGGAACAGCAAGCACGGCAAAAGCCCTTCCGGGCATCCTACATTGTGCCGTGAGGTGGCTGGAGCGAAGGAGGCAGACGATGGCTGCAAGTGAGTAACACACGGGAAAGCGGGGCGCAGAGGGGGCAGGGAAATGCAGACGCCCAGGAGGGGGCTTTTTGAAATCAATGGGGAAGAGAGGGGAAAAGAACTAAACTGGGCAGCGGGTGGGCATGGTGGTGGACATGGTGGTGGGCACGGTGGTGGGCACGGTGGTGGGCACGGTGGTGGGCACGGTGGTGGGCACGGTGGTGGGCACGGTGGTGGGCACGGTGGTGGGCACGGTGGTGGGCACGGTGGTGGGCACGGTGGTGGGCACGGTGGTGGGCACGGTGGTGGGCACGGTGGTGGGCACGGTGGTGGGCACGGTGGTGGGGTGGGGCACGGTGGTGGGCACGGTGGTGGGCACGGTGGTGGGCACGGTGGTGGGCACGGTGGTGGGCACGGTGGTGGGCACGGTGGTGGGCACGGTGGTGGGCACGGTGGTGACCACACACGCATCTCATGAGGCAGTTGCACTAAACCAGCGCAAGGGATGGTTGCAGCTGCAAACAGCGGAATCGCAAGGCCTACCAAGGGCCCGAAAATTACATCAGCTGAAGTCGCAGTCACTGCTCCAGACGAGGCAGCCCTTCCCGCCACAGCCATGCACGTCCCCCCCAATTCCCCTCCCCCTCCTCCCAACCCCACCCCCTGCTCCTCCTCCTCCTCCCCTCGCCTCCCTGAGTCCCCCAGAGACTCGCCATCCACATCGATTTTTGTGTACCCAAGCAACAACGATTCATCACCATCATCATCGTCATCAGCAGCACCTGCACGAGCCGCTCCCATCCTGATCGGGTTGCCGGCAGCAGCACCACCACCACCGCCAATGCACGCTGCAAGCCCTGCACCACCCCCGCCCCCGCTGTGCTGCTGGTGCTGCCCTCGCCCCCCTCCCACCGCCGCCGCCCTTCCTCCTCCCGGCCGGCCGCTTCCTCCGAAGCCACACGACAGGAAGCTCAGAACGTCACCACCAGCAGCAAAGCCTGCCGCGCTGAAACCACCAGAGCTCACACCAGCAGCACCAGCAGCGGCAACACCAGAGGCACCAGCAGCAGCAGCACCAGTTGCAGCAGCAGCAACGGCGGCGCCAGCAGTAGCATCATCCCCAGCTGACTTGCTGCTGGAACTGCGGCCACCCACACCCGAGCCACAACCAGCCCCAGTGCCGTTCCTGCCCCTCCACCTCCCCTCCCTGCCGCCCGATTCACCCTCATCACCCGCCGGCCCCTCCTGCTCATACCCATCCTCATCTAGTCCATACAGCCCCAGGTGCTGGTACGCCTCTGCTTCGCTTAGTGATGACGAGCGCTGGAACCCCCCTTCCCTGCGCCGCTCCAGCAGCCTCTCCCTCCAATCCAACTCATCCCCCGACTCCCCTCCCCCCGCTCCCCCCCACGCTCCTGCTCGCCCCCGCAACCCGCCTGTGCCAGACAGCCCCCCCCCTGCTGTCCGTGCTCTGAAGGGCTGCGGCGCACCGCAGAGGTCCAAGGGGGAGAGCAGGCGGAGTGAGCGGCTGAACTGCAGCCATGCCCCTGAGACAGACACGCTGAACGGCGCGCCGGGTGTGGAGGAGAAGGGGTGGCTGGAGCGAGGGAGAGACAGCCCCCCTTTTGAGATTCTAGACGAGGCTCCTCCTGCACCGCCTTCGCCGTAAATAGCACTGCTGCAATCACCATCATCAACGTCCAAGCTATCGGCACCATCATCGCCATAAGCACATCGCACGCTGCTTGTGACCCTCCGCCCGACACCACCACCACCACCACCAGCACCACTGGAACGAGCTCCACTCCCCAGTGCCCCTCCGCTGCTTGAGGGCCGCTTCAGCCTCGAATATTCCCCAACCAAAGCACTCTCCCGCTCACCGTACCCACCCATCCCCATTCTCTCCCTGCTCCCCTCTCCAGCTGCCGCCTTGGGCCTGCTCCTCTCGCCAGGCCCCTCGGACGACCACCCTCTGCGCAACACGCGGTTACTCAGACGCCGCGAGAAAGAGGAGGCGGGAGGGGGGGAGGAGAAGCCGGAGGAGGGGGTGGAGGACTCGGCAGGGGCAGGGGAGTGCAAGGAAGGGGAGGACGACGAGTGAGCCGGTTTCGGTTGTGGAAGGATGGCAAAAGCTGTGGAGGGGGAGGGGGAGGGGGAGGAGGCAGAGGCAGAGGCAGAGGTGGAGGAAGAGAAGTGCATGGCAAATAATTTTGGTGTCGGTACGTCCATGTCATCATGAGACGCTGCCTCCTGACTTGCGCCAGAGAGGGATGCCGCTTCCAGCTGGACTTGCTGCTGCTGCTGCTGCTGCTGCTGTTGCTGGCGGTCTGCTGCCTGTTGTTTCTGCTGCTGATGGGCTGACAGCTCTATCTCGGCAACCTTGGAGGCCTTTCCACCCATTCCTAAGTCAGATTGTGCTTCTGCCTGTGAAACTACCTGCTCCTGCTGCTGCTGTGCCATTGTTGACAATCTACTCTGCTGCACTGGATTCTGCTGCTCCTGCTGCTTCTCCTCCTGCTCCTTCTGCTGCTGCTGCTCCTTCTGCTGTTGCTGCTGTTGCTGCTGCTCCTTCTGCTGCTGCTGCTGCTGCTGCTGCTGCTCCTTCTGTTGCTGCTGCTGCTGCTGCTGCTGCTCCCCTGTACTACTTCCAGCACTAACTAAACCTTGCCCTTCCATACACACTCTCCCTCCCATCCCACTTCCAGCACCGCCACCAACAGATGCAGCCCTCTGCCGCCTGCTCTTCTTCGGCTCCTTGATAAGAATCATCTCCCTCCTACCACCGCCACCCGCAGGAACCCTCAGAGGGCTCCGTGGGGGCATACCAGGAAGAGAACCTACGGCTGCTGCTCCTTCTGCCACTGCTGCCATGTGTGCTGTTGCTGCTACTGCTGTTGCGGTCGCTGCTGCTGGTGCTCCTGGCACGCTCCCGTTATCCTCTCCTCCTCCTCCTCCTCCTCCTGCACGCAACATGACGCAGAGGGAGCCAGCAGGCATGCAGATGCAGCAGCAGGCGATGCGAGAGAGAGGGAGGGAGGGAGGGAGAGCGAGAGGAAGGGAGGGAGGGGGAGAGAGAGGAAGCGAGAGGGGTGGGGAGGGGGAAGGGAAGGGAAAAAGAGGAGAACAAGAGAACGGGATACGAAGGGAGAGGGATGGGAGGGAGGGAGAGGGGAGAGAGCGGAAGGGGAGGGAGGAGGAGAGAAAGAGAGGACCAGAAGACAGCAGAGCGAAAGAGGGGAGAGATGGAGAAGGAAGGGAGGGAGGGAGGGAAGGACGGTCGGGCGGGTGGACAGGCGGACGGGCGGGTGGACGGACGGACAGACGAACGAGGTTATGGAGGAATCGGAGGCAGGCACCCAGAAAGGAAGGGAAAACGGCAGGCAGGCCCGTGTGAGGGAGGGACGGAGGGAGGGGCGCGGACGAGACAAGAGTGAGGGAGGAAGAGAGGGAGGTAGAGAGGGAGTGAGGGATGGGGAGGAAGAAGGAGAAAGAGAGGAACAGAGCAAGGAAATAAGAGAAGAACGATAGAAAGAGATGGCAACGAGCAGAGGGGGGAGGAGAGGAAAGATGAGGAGGGGCGGAGAGCAGAAAAGGGAGGAGGTTAGAGAGCAGTGGGGGCGTGAGTGGGTACGGGAGTGGCATGGGAGGCACAGCCTGCAGTGCGGACATGATGTCAGCAACGCAAGGGGGCAGCAGCAGTTCCAGCAGCAGCGGCAGCGGCAGCGGCAGCAGCAGCAGCGGTGGCGGCAGCGGCGGCGGCAACGGCAGCAGCGGCGGCAAGCGAAGGGATGACAGGAAGACAAACAAGGAGGAGATTGAGGGGCATCAGATGAAGGGAGCAAGCGTGCAATCATAGAAGAGCATCGAGGAGAGGACGAAAATGAGATGAAAGGAAGCAAGGGGGCGATAAACGCAGTTGCGATGTGGAATTCAGCGGCAGCAGCAGCAGCAGCAGCAGCAGCGGCGGCGGCGGCAGCAGCGGCGGGTGCAGTAACAACATGAGCAGCAGGAGGAGCTTTGTAATCCAGAACCAGAAGTTAGAAGCTAGATCAATGTCAGTGCTAGGGCGGGCCTGGCGACAATTGCTGAACATCAAAATGAACTAAATAATCAGGAAACTACCCAACAGGCAGACGGCAAGGAAGGAGTAAAAACAAATGGCAATACCTGGCGGCACGCCAGCTGGCGGGACGTTTGCAGGTGTTTCAATCTTCCCTGCAACCCCACCACTGTCCCCCGTCCTCTCCCCCTGCTCCTCTTTCCCCTCCTCCTCCTCCTCCTCCTCCAGAATATACTCCTCTTCCTTCGTCCCCCACACCAGACTACCTTCCGACTGGCTTCTGAACCCATGGCTTCTAGAGAACTTGGGCCGAACAGGCACGGCCACCACCCTCCCCCCCCCCCTCCCCTCACCCCCTGCCCCCCTGCCCGCCGCTCTAGCCTCCCCTCTCACGTCGTCTATCATCTGCTCCGTTATAAGGTTCAGCTCGTCTTCCAGCAGCCGCTTCGCCCGCTCCTTTCTCACCCGAGCCTCCGCCTCAGCCTTGGGCTCAGGCTCGGGGGGCTGGACTAGGTACGCGCCTGGAGCGTCCCTGTAGGGGAAGATGAGCTCGGGGTCTTGCACGGGGGCTCTGAACTGGATCACCATGGCCCTCAGCTTGCTCTCCAGGCGCGGCAGGTTGATTCCCAGCTCCGCTGCTACCACTGCAGCGTCTGCCACGGAACGCCCGTCCCCAGACCCACCCTCTCTCACCGGGGCTCCTGCTCCTGCTCCTGCTGCTGCTGCTGCTGCTGCTGCTGCTGCAGCTGCTCCTGCTCCCGCCTGAACCCCGCGAGAAACAGAAACACTGCTTGGAAATGCACCAGCCCCGCCTGCCGAAGCTGAATTGCACATGCCAGCACCACTAGCGCCGCCAACTCCTGCCACCCCCCCTCCGCCTCCTCCCCCCCCTCCAACCCCTCCTCCTTCTTTCCCCCGTGACCCTGTGAGCAGGCCCGCGCCAGCAGAGAGGGAGCGGATGAAGACACTGCTGGCGGAGCGGCGGTGAGAATTGCTGGCCTCCTTGAACGCCTTGAGCACCTTTTTTAAGAGATTGTACCCATCTGCACGCTCGAACTCGCCCTCGCACATCCTCGCTATAAGCACGCCCGTTGTGGTGACACCACTGCTGTCGGATATGGTGAGGGGGGTGTGAGTGGCAGGGTTAGGAGGAGGGTGGGGAGGAGTAGAGAAGGTATTAGAAGGGGCCACAGAACCACCACCACCACCAGAGGTAGTGGCAGCAGCAAAGCCAGCGAAGGCGGCTGCAGAGTGATTTCCCCGGGACATTGTAATCGGCCGTGGGCTGGTTGGGCCCACTAACCCCCACACGCTGCCAGCACTGCTGCTGCCGCCGCCACCCTTCTTACTGCTGCTGCTGCTGCTGCCGCCACCACCCCCGCCGTTGCCACCGCCACCGCCGCTGTTGCTACTGTGATGGCTGCTGGAACCGGGTCCGTCTCTGCCGCCACCACCGCCGCCGCCGCCGCCGCTACTACTGCTGCTGCTGCCGGTGCCGGCCTTGTCGACGAGCAGCAGTGCCATGAGCGTGTCGTGCGCGAGGGAGACCTTGGAGAGGAACGGCGGCGCGGCGCGCAGCACGTCGTGCGCGACTGGAACGAACTTGAGGTCGGTGGTGTAGCGCGCGACGAGCGTGTTGTTGCGCGCCACGCCGACGAGGAACACCAGGTCCTCGATCTCCTCCTCATCCTCGCTTCCGCCGCCGCCGCCGCCGTGCGCCGAATCCCTGCCGCGGCTCCCCTTCCCCCCCATCCCTCTCCCCTTGCCCTTGTCCCATACCATCGTTCACCCCCCCACGGAGTAGTACCTTCTAGCTACGCCTGCCTGCCTGCCGTTCACGCCTCTTGCTCCTAGACAGACGGGAGCGGGAAATATGGGGCGAGAAGGATAAATAGTTCTCCTGACACCGATCAGAAGGAGAAAAGGAGAGCGATCAGTGACCTAGAATACCCTTCGAGTCGAAAAACACCGTTTCCTCTAGTGGAGAAGGTATTTCTCGGTTGCCGTAACCCGCACGCGACACGCACTCCTCGATTCTTTTCACCCGCCTCCCTCCTCCTCTCGTCCTGGCCGACCCCTCTCCTCCGCTGCTCCTCCTCTCCTCCACTGGTGTGGGTACCAAATCGCAACCGCCCGCAGTTTCTACCAGCGTCGACGCCTGGCGCCGTCCATTAGGATTGCCGGCATGCCGCCATGGAAGTCACCCGCGAGCATACGGCATGTGGTGGGGTGGGGACCCGACCCGATACCGTACAGCATAAGGCCTCCGCCGGAAGTTCTACCATGAAAGTAGTAGTGGCGAAAGACGAGTCGACGCGACGGACGGTCTTAAATGAGCGGACGACTGAGGTCGTGGTATGGGGAGTGGTAGAAAACGATTCGACCCGCGTAAGAGAGAAGTGCAAATCTTATGAAGCGAAATGAATCCCGTGAAAGGGTAGGCGATTCCACCTTCCGAACCCTACTTAAAGCCGTTGACCCAAATTGCAGAAATTGTCTTTCAAGTTTATTAATCTTGAGACCCCCCGATTGGTAACCCAGTTCCCCAGAGCGAGAGCAAAAACGAAAGTTGCGCAACAAAACGACGGGAAACAGTCTATAATCTTGCGCCACCCCCAGCTGATTATGCCCCTGCCCCCGCCACACCAGGCATTTGAACGGAAAGAAACTTGAACTTCCCCCCATACATTTTGGGACCTTTCGGAGTGCAAACCCAGCCCAGCGCCACTACGCCCTAGGCAGCGAAAGCACCATGCACAGCAAACGCCAGTTTTTATTAGGGCGCGGTACAAATCGTTTCAAGTGAGGTACGCGACTTGAACTCGCAAAAAAAAAATCTTATCGAGCCTTCTAGATCGCGTTGAAAACCGTCTAAACGTCTACAACCGCATCAGCTGTTCGAATTTCAGTTTGACGACATACCCGTGATATGAGGTGTACCACGCCCTGATATGCGCAAGTCGAGTTGCTTGGCGATTCCAAACGAGTTGCGCAACTCGGCCAGGATGCGCGACCCAGAGTCACGTGCCCTTCCTTCCCGCTGTTTCCAGTGTTCCACGCTGTGCCGTGCGCCGCTCTGACCAGGTATTCTTCCCCCACTCCCCCCTGCGCCTTGCGCGCGCCCCCACTTTCCTTTTCCCCACCCTCGATTTCTCCCAGTCATTGTTTGCGAACGTTTTGGTTCTGTCATAAGTTGTATGCTCGTTCTGATTGGTTTTCGTAGTGTGCTGTATCAGCCCACTCTCGCCACCCTCACACCACTCCTCCACGCCCGTGTCCTTTCTCCAGCTCAACTTTTTGCCTGGTTCATCTTTATTAATCTTGTACGTTTTGGGTCAACGGCTTTAAAGAAGCAATATTCGGTGAAATGGCACAAGAGGCTCGTCCACTATGTTACAACGCATTGGTCTGCCATTGGATGGTCATGGGCAGGCCCTGAGATTGCAGGCTTTGTACCCTGATTCAGGGTAAAATCAGGGGTTTTTTTAGGGTTGACCCAGATGCGACCGATTTTATTTTTTTCAGACCCTTCAAATTTTAGGGTTTTTTTTTTAGTGAGTTATGATCGCTCAGCGCAAATAGTGTAGTGACCCCTGTTTGTGCAGGGGACTATAGGGGACTGACCCTAAAACGTGTAATAGTGGATTCTGTGCCCCCCCACTCATCCACCCATGATTTTCGTGTTTTTTGCCCAATCTCCCTGTCAATCATGCCGAGTTCTTTTTAACCAATCACTTTTTTGCCCCGCTGGAGAATTTGCAGCTATCCTGCATCCAGCACATTGTGCTCAGCAAGAACTCATTGGTTGTTTCAAAGTTGCATGCCTGTGCTATCGCCAACACAGTGCATAACCGCTGGGATAATTGGCACAGCGGTAAATTAACAAGTACAACAGCCAATAGACCAGGGCCAACATTCGACAGCTGGCCCTCCGCCGCATCCGCATTCAGTCACCCACCCGATTCGATAAGCTGTGGTGCATGCATGCTTGGTCCAGTGGTGTCCCGCGTTGCCCACCCCCAACCGTGTGAGGTCCCATCTTTAACATGTACGTCTTTCATTCACTCCCTAACCAAGCTTCAACACCTACTTCCTCGTCCAATTCGACAGTATTCACCTCCTCATTTGGTTCTCCTTCACAGTTGTGTCCGCCTTTCTAGACGCAGCCATCCCGCGATGGTAGGACCGAGCGATGGTGAACCCGAGCGTTCCTCGTGCAGACCTGTGCACGGGGCTTGACCTGCTCCTGTCGACTCTTTCCAATCTCACACGGATCCCGATTAGAGCCCAGGTCGTGCCTAGGGATCAGGAACCCATAGCAAAGGAAGTCGCCGACTCAGTTTCAAACGCGATCGTACTTCTGCAAACCAGTCGTCGGCCCGATCCCTCTGCGCCAGCTACCGTCGAGCGTCCATCTACCGCGACGACTACTCCCAAGCGCCCTGGGCGCTACTGCCAAGCCACGTTACCTTTCGCGACCCCCAAGCAGAGTCCAGCCGAGCCAGCAACGTCGACCTCAGCTGTTGACAGAGACGAGCCCTCTATAGACGAGACGCCTTCAACCTCGAAGAAGTCTCGGACACCATCTGAGTTATATGCCGAGGCCCTTTCCCGCTACAAGTCGAAGTGGCAGGACCAGTTTGTCTAGAGCATGCGTGGCTTGTCTTGTGTAAAACTGACGCTGGAATCCTTGCCTTCAAGTGTACTATTTGTCTAGAGCATGCACGGCTGTCTGGACGGACTGGCCGGCGTGGTACAGGAATCACGGATGCACGAACACAAGTGTTCAACATGCACGCTGGTATCGGAAAGCACCGATTCGCCTTCGGGAAGCAGAACGTGCTGCTGCAGGAAGCGATTACCCAGACGCGAATCGACCAGAACCCGCACTCGTTGGATTTGGAGAGGGATCGGATCACCGCTCTTCTCGACGTGCTGTACACCTGCTGCAAGACGAACGAGCCCATGGACACGTGGGTTACGATCACCAACTACCTTGCCTCACGGAATTCGTAAGTTGAATTGTCCTTGCGTTATTAACTTCGTTGTTTTGGTTTTTGTATTGTACATATTGGCGATGTTTTGGTTTCTACTCAAAAAGACGTCTAATCATGACTGTTATGTTATGTACTGCAGGTATGGTTTTGGAGAGTTCACACAGTCCACTGCGACATGGCCCCACACCACCCAACTGGAGCACCTCCTGTGAATTCCGTTCATCGGAATCAGTCTCGACGAGAGCACGGACCGTTGCCGAGGAAAGCACATGATTGTCTTCTGCACCTTCATCTGGGATCATCACGTTGTCACGGAGTTCCTGGCGCTGCTAACTGTGGACAAGGTAGACGCGTCGTCACTACTCGCGCTGTTGCTCTCCCACCTGCAAGCAATCGGTGTCGACCTCCGACGCATCTCAGGCATCAGCACTGACGGAGCAACGGTGATGATGGGCGCGAAGTCCGGGCTGGTGAATCGTCTCCGCTTGCGCATCCCGCATCTGGTTTCCTGTCACTGCATTGCTCACCGGTAAGTTAGTCACTCAGTCTCTATGCACCATGTTTCGTCCAAGCTACGACCGTGTCGGAATTGTACCAATCATTCCCCATACGTGCGTCTTTGTATCCCTTTGTTTACGTTGCCCCAAAACAGAGAGGCATTGGCAGCTAAAGCGGCGGCGGAAGGGCTCCCGTTCTTCAAGATCGTAGACGACTTCATTAGAGAGATGGCGGTGTTTCTTGGCCAGTCAGGAGCCTGGCACCAGCGCTTCCTCGACCTCCAAGACATCTTCCTCTTGACGTGCCTGGAGCTCCAGGGTATTCACTTCTTTAGATGGCTCTCTCACGGTGAGGCCATCCAACGGTTGGTGAAGGTCTTGCCCGCCGTCATCGTAATGCTTACTGAATTTGCACATGTTCGGTTGTACAAGATTGCCATGAGCTATCGTTTCTGGTTTGTGCTGATGCTTCTTGCTGATGTTCTTGAGCAGTTGAACATCCTGAATGAAACATTCCAGGCCCGTGAGGTAAGCAATGGTTCCTGGCCTTTTACACCCGGCTACTGATGCACCTCAGTGTCTTACCTTTACTCCCCATCCCCTTCCTGCAACTGGACATCTCGACGGCCCACGCGTCGGTCACCCGCATGACGTCCCTCCTCAAAAGCCGCTACGTGGACTGCGGCGACGACTTCATTGGACCCACGGGTATTACAAATCCTACAGTTTTCACAGGCCAAGCAGGTGATTCTGCAGCTGGAAAATTTCCACCTGCATATGCTTCAATTGGGATGCCTCAACAGCAGCAAGGGTTGCCTACTGTGCATCCACCAGGGACTTCGTCCTCTGCACCTGCAACATAGCAACAAGCACCATCGCAACAAGCAGCAACATCAATAACAACGACTTTTAGTGGCACGAGTCTTGATGGTTCCAGTTAAGCAAGAGCTGCAGCCGCTCCAAGCTCCAGTACTTCATTTGCGCTTACACCTACTCAACACCAACAGTTCCAAATTTTGCAATGGCAGCAACAAGCAAAATAGCAGTTTCAGCAACAACAGCAACAACCACAACAGCAACAGCAACAGCAACAACAATTTCCGCAACAGCAGATTTCTTTTACTGGACCTATCTTTTAGGTTCCAAATCTTTTAAGTAATACGCAGATCAAGACAACAATACCTTTTAATGGCGTTGACTTCTACTCCTGGAGTTTTGAGTTCAAGCTCCTTGTTAAATCCGCTAGGTTATGGCCCTTCTTCAGTGCGATTGTTCGTATCCTGTTACGGGAACACAGATGGAGCAGCAAAGTTTTCTTCATGCTTCACTCAGCGCTTATATAGTTTGTATTCGAAACCTGTCACTGAAAGAGCAACTTGGGATACGCTCCCTTCACACCAGCTTGACTCCAGCCGAATCTGCATGGAAGCATTTAAAGGGACTGTATATGGCACAGGACACCATTTCCGTGAGTAAGATTCTCTCACAATTGACAACTGTGCAGATGCAGGGCAACGAGAACGTTTCGGGTTATATCAACAGGGCTCGCACACTTCACGACCAACTGGAAAAATGCAGCGGATACTTCCCAAAGGACATGTGTGTAACAATTTTTCTTGCCAGCCTTGGAGCAGAATGGCGGCAGTGTCGATCTCTTCTTCGCATTCAACCAAATCTTTATGAAGCAGAAATGTGTTCGATTCTTCAAGCAGAGCAACAAGACCTTGATATGCAAACAACATGTAACAAGAAAGGAGCAGTTAATGTCAGTTTCTATTCAACGCCTGCAAAACGCATCAACAATTTTTTCTATCACTACTACAAAAGGGATGGACATAGCATCAAATATTGCAACAAGCTTCAACCTGATAAGAAAAGCGCAGCAGCCGT